ATGGTCGCCAAGAACAATGTTTCAACATTGTTCTTGCCAAGAACAATGTTTCAACATTGTTCTTGGCAACCATGCTAGCTGAAATATTATTTAGTGATTCAAATTTACAACCAACAATAAATGAGGATTCTAACAAAAATCAAGTCGAGTTGATTGCAACAGTACAGAACTACTAAATTACTTAGCGCAGTAATTGCAACAATCAATATCTGAAGTTTTGCAGATTGCAGAAGTATGTTAACAAGGAAACAAACACAGTTTTGTATCATTCTTTCAAAACAAATTAAAAATGTTAAGTTTCACTAAAATAAAATCAGCAACTGTCCAAAACTTATTAAATGCTCTGGCATCTATCCAATCTACATCAACATAGAGTGAGAGAGTTTTTTTAATCACCGGCAATTTCTGTACAAAATTCTTCTATGAAATTTGATCTGTTGGATACATTAGTCTTTCTTAAATAATAAATTATTAAAAAACATAAATTTTAATGTCAAAAAAACTGTGTATTTATTGTTGAAAAAAAAATATTTTTGCAAAATTTTGTTTTCTTAGACTTTTTTATTTGTTTTCAGGTCTAATTCCAGTATATAAATTCAGTAGGTTACAGTGAATTTATACAGTAATCATAAAAATTCCTTTTTATAATAATAATAAAAAAAAAAAACGGTGTATAACTGGTTATCCGGTTTTAAAATTTATAAAAAACCAAAAACTGATTTTTTGAAATTTTCCGGTTTTTGCCAAACCCTAGTGAATGGTAATTGCCTTTAAAATGCTGTTTTTTTTAAATAATCTGAGAAAGGAAGAACTTTGCTTTGTTTTAATTTAATGAAGTTCATTGCTTTGTTTTGAAGAACTTAAAAGTGTTCACTAATATAAAATAAAAGTGGATTTGCAGTGGAACTATATAAGCATTTTGAGTGGTTAAATAGAGTTTTGCCCCTCAGTTACTTTAGGCGTTCGGTAAAAGTGGCTAGACGATAACTCTTCAACATGTAATATAAAAGCTAGTTATTGGCTAGCCAATTTGGTGGTTGCCACTACTGATCAACTATATAATAAATACTAGATAAAATAATTTAAAAAAAAACTGGTAATAAAAAAAAAATTTCATAAAAGTTTAACAAATGAACAAATATGTTTTGCTATTTTTTTTATATATTTAAAATAAAACGCTTTTAATTTTTGGCAAGCACACTATTATGCGCTCGCCAAAGTTTTTATGGGTGTGTGGCCAAGCACGAAGACTAGAGCACGAAAGCACTAGCTAAACGGAGAAGACTTTAAGACCCTTCAGTAAACCATTAATGTTGGAAATGGTATAGTATATTATGTTATGAAATGTCAAAAAATTGAAGTGAAAGCGGTTAAGAACAAAAAAAATTATAGTGGTTTAAACTTATGTCATGCCTTCAAGGCGTGACCCAGTTTGAATAGGGTTAAGAACTATTG